TCATAAGTATGAAGATCGCAATAATATCAATTAATGTATAGATAAAAAATTTAAAAAATTAAACCAATAAATTATTAAAAAAAAAAAAGTGGAACAAAAAAAATAAAAAAAAACTACTTTTAAAAGTAAGGGCTGTCTACATATAAAAAAAATTAAAAAAATTAAAAAAAAAATTAAAAGTTGTCTTTGTGTGTCAGCCAAAACAAAGACCAAACTTCAAATTTGGTCTCCTACGCGCAGGAGACCAAATTTGTAGTTATTGGTACAAAAAGATCATTTGTAACTCCTTACTATTAATTATAGTGAATTCTCCACCTCAACTCGTGGTTTTCCCGGATTTGGGTTCCACGTAAATCTTGTTTTCATTATGGTCCATTATTTTCATATTGCACATATTATTCTCATTTTTAATTATTTGGCCCGATTTCTAACAAAGTGGTATCAAAACTTTTGGTATTGAAATTCTTGAAAAGATCGAGGTTTTTTGTGATGGCAATAAAGGAGCATTCTAGTTTCCATAACACGGCTGCTGTTAAATAGGCAAAATATCCATAAGGTGAAATTGACAAAAGGAAGAAATAGGTAATTGAAGCATGTCTTATATATACCCAAAGAAGCTTCTTTCTCAAAAGTGATTTGATCCTAATAGAACAACTTAAAAAAGGACGAGGTAAACCAAAAATAATCTGGCCTGATTTGGTTGGAAAGGCAAAGAAATAATTTCAAAAAATACTTTTTTTACCACCCTAACAACTTAATCTTTTAGATGAAAGGTTCAACATTGGTTTCAATGGATCTTTCAATAGATAAGGTGTGACAAAAAATGACTCACACAACTAGGGATGTAAGCGGTTCGGTTTTACCGATTTTTGACAAATTTTCAAATCAAACCGTTTAAACCGGTTTGAGAAAAACTCAAACCTAAACCAAATGGTTTGAAAAAAACTCAAAACATAAAGCTAACGGTTTGGTCAGTTTTAAACCGACGGTTTGGCTTGTATATTTTTTTGTCTACTTTTATGACATTATTTTTTTGTCTGTCTACTTTTATGACATTA